GATATATGCGGTTGAGCAACTTAAAACTGGCAAAGTTAATAAAAACATCATTATTTTCTCGTTTGTTCGCATATTAGCAAGGTATTTCTCTCATTTCATATAAAAATGCATTAGCGAAATCGCTCTATCAATAATACTTTCAGAGAGTTATAACCTCTTATTTGTTTATTTACTCTATTGAAAATTAAAGCAATTATTTACAATTCCTTTGTTTGATTGACCAAGGATTAGCATTGTCAAGAACTTCACAGTAATTATTTCTAGACACAGCGTAAAATTTTAACGTGCTGTCATTTCAAAGTTACATAGTGAAAAAACGCATAATAGAGTGCAAGCAATTCAAGCATGGGAAACTTTAGCAATTAAAACTGCTAAATTGTACTGAATTATATGCGAATTTATTTATTTTTTATTATTTTTTTCTTGTGCAATCTATATAAGTATTCATCAAACTATTTAACAAATAGATCTCATTTTTCCGTGCGTGTGTACTCTAATAGATACACAGATGACGTCAAAATGTAGTGAGAATAAAAAAGTACGCATGAGACGCAGTCGAGTGCGTGACTGTTGTTCTCACTACATTTTGACAACATCTGTGTATCTATTAGAGGACACACGCACGGAAAAATGAGATCTATTTGTTTTATACAACAAACAATTAGTTTTGACGTAATCCGTGTATCTATACTTTGATAACACACGAAAGCCAACCAATCAAAACGTCTGATTTTACTGAAAAGTTGTATAAACTTTGATAACACATGAAAGCCAACCAATCAAAACGTCTGATTTTACTGAAAAGTTGTATAATGGCTATTACAAATCAAGGATTTTGATTGGCAACTGAACTAGGTCGCATCCAATGAAGCAAACATAATCTAACAAATATCGGTAAAAATTGTACTTTATGATCAGTTATTTTTTTAATTTGCCTACAGTTTCATGAATGCTAAAACAATTCGACCACTCGGCATTGCCATGAACTATTAATTAACTGGTAGTCTAAATGTTAACTATATTGTACTTGTTGTGGTCACATCGTTAATCTTGAGACTTTCATCCCGACCTGTCTTCAACAGATATGCAATTTCTGAAAAACAAAAAAAAAAGAATTGTCTAGATAATTGCCAAGAGCTGGCAAAATGTATAAGAAACATTAAAATTTCAGTATTTTTGTGGCTAGTGCCTAGGAACGAGGCTCAAGCCACTATGCTATCKTCTTATCATTGTGAGTATAATAATGCAATTCGGGATAACTCCKCTGCTACTCCAGTACATTTTCGCATTGTTCCGATATTTTCGTAATGTTAGATTGATAGTTTTTTTGAGTTAGGAATTTTTTTGCTTTCCTGGCAAAAATGTTTAAACAGTATTCCATGCGTGTAGAGTTCTTATTGTTGTGACTTACATCTGGCTGGGACATAAGAACAGATATATTTCTCCCAGGAACCAGTCGGCTCCTCCTGCTGCTTGTTTACATGAGCAGTTCAAGATTCGGTACTAGTAAAATTTCAAGTTAACTTACCCACTGCGACATACCCATAGCCAACCTGATGGAGGATTGCCGCACTCGGAATTACAAGAGAGACTGACAGTGCCGCATCTAGCTACAGGATTTGAGCATGATGGATTTCTCTTCACTGGCTCCAGAAAACGACGCTTTGATAGAAAATTGTTGATCATTGCTCTGATAAGKGSATCATCTTGACTCCTTGGGGCGGCATGGCTCCTACAAGCAAAACAATTTAGAAACACTTGGAAAGTTTTTGCAACCAGTAATATATATCCTGCATCAAGTACAACACTTGTGAAAGACCTTCAAACATTTGTGCAGTCGTCCGCGAATAGTACTCATTAACAAGGGGTCATTTYAAGTGAAAATGAAAGCAAACAAGAAATATCGAAACTACTTAGTGTTACTATGATTTAAGCGGCTTTTTTTTTGACTAAGACTAAGATTGGATCCCAGAGAACATTATAGACCGAGATGAAAAATGACGAGCTTGTATGCAGGGGCGAATCCAGCATTTCATAAGGGGGGAGGGGTGGGGGTGCTTTTGTCAGTAATATATAGCTAAAAACTAAGTATAGCAGGTGGAACTGATCTTTTTTTGTTAGCTGCGTATTGTTTAGACCAAGAAAATCATGCACAATTTGACCGTCTTTCATCCTTTCAGTTTGGACAGAAAGACCTCAACTAAGTACCTCACAGATGCAATTCATGTTTAGTAAGCTTATTTGCATTTCATTAGGATTGAACTTTCCAATTCATAAATAATATACTTTGTGTCTTAACTTAGACAATCATTTGAAACCAAAGAAATTGCCTTTGAAATCTCCAGAAACCTTGATTATCAATAAAAGTTTCAGTGTTCAGAATTAATTTCGACGAAGTTAGTCTAGCGTTTGATCCCATATAAAGTGGTTCTCCGTCAACCGTTGAAAAGAAATGGACCAACTATTAGTATTGGTCTATTACAAACTACTACTAATTATTAGACTTATAGTGAAAGGGATAGAAGAAAGATAGATTTATTAAAAACTACATTGCAGCTATACATTGAATTGCGTAGTGTTTTCATGGTTGACGGAAAACCACTCTATAATAACCAATAAAAACATTAAAAAGATAGTACTTACAATGACAAAGCCAGTAAGACAACGAAGCAAAGGAACATTACGGTTTTCTTCGACATCTTGAGTTCTGTTTAGAAAGATAAGTCATCCTTAAGTTAATAATGCAAATTTGTGGAAAAGCGAGAAAAAGGAAATACCCTTTATAATGTTTATAAACTGACTTAAGAAAATTCAGAAGTCAAATTTGAAGATCGCCCTTACCTTGTTCTTGCTTTCTAGTTCTTCTGTTCTGCTGCTTCGAGGTACTCTGAGGTAGTGGCGACACTCCTTCGGAGCTTTGTCTTTTATAATGAATCAATCCAAGCATGCATGAAGTAGCTTTTAGATGGGCTTGAGGTGAGTCAAGGACTCTTGAGGGGTGGATGAATAGAAAGCACTGACTTTGATCTTCTCGCTCTACGTGATCAACAAAAATAATTATACTTGTTCAAAGACAAAGCAAAGTTYTGAGCCCTGATTCCCACCTTAGACAAGGTATTCGTTTTTATGCTTAGCTAAATCTTTTTTCAGAAAAGAACTTTCAAGCAAGAACTTTCCAAAGATCTTAATTATCAATCCCTTCGCGCTCAAATCATAGATGCGGAGCGTGTTAATTAATTTTTGGATATCCTCCGTTGGATTTCAAAGCGTCCTGAGTGTTCGCTGTTACTCTCAGCCACACGTAAGTCAAGATTCTTTGATGAAAATCTTAATTTATTATATATAACAGCGGGTTATCGATTCCTCTGAAGTGCGCGCCAAATTTTTGCAATGCGTGATACGGTCTCAAAAACAAAGGCCAAAATGTCTCTCAGCTCGTAGACCACTGGATCTCACATGGTGATGCATAAACGATATAGGTCCTTGTGGAACACCAATCCAAGCGTGCAAGTAGCTTTTAGATCAAAAAATTACTATGTGAAAAATGAAAACTAATTCTTCAAAAACACAGCAAGGTCTAATCGCACCTTAGGAAAGGGATTCGTTTTTATGCTCAGCTGTCTTCAGAAAAATTGGTGAACATCGTCAAAACAGTAAGGAAAGCAAGCAAAGTGTCTAAAACCTTCGCAAGAATTTAATTATCATTCTTTTCGAACGCAAAATCATAGATGCGAAGCGAGAGTCAATTATTGGATATCCTTCGATGGATTTCAAAGGGAATCATTCTCCAATGTCCTGAGTGTTACCCTCTAAAACATAAGTCAAGATTCTTTGGAAATGAAAATTTCATCGCGAAATGATAGTTTTCTAGTTTCTTTAGCGTGAGATTAGCCTATTTGATCTGCGGGATTTTTGGGTGTAACTTTGACATATTGTCCTCTTATTCACATACTCTTGAAGTCAAAATTGTTCGTTCTTCATCCTTTAAAAAAAAGAGAAAAAAGAGGCTTCAACACATTGTCTTCTTCGATGATAAGTGTGTTTGTGGTTACTGAATGTATTTGTGAAGCTTTTAGATCACTGGTGCATTTAGTGACATCGAGAAATGTCAAGGACATTCATAAATAACAAAGAGATCGTGAGATAGAGTGGACTAAGAGTTCAGTTACTATTTTCGTCTTTGTTTCTGAGACCATATTATTAGTCATGTGTTGTAAAAATTTGGCGCGCAGCTTCAGAGGAATCGATTACAGCGCTGTTAAAAATATTAAATGAAGATTTTTTTCAACAAGATTTTTCCTGCTGTTTTTGAGATGTCTATCAATTTTCCTGTTCGAAAATGGATCATCATAGAAACGAATCCCTTTCCTTACTAGTGRGGATAAGGACTCAAAACGTTGCTCTGTATTTAATGAAGAAGTAACGTTTATTTATCAAGTGACTTTTTGAGTTGATCAATTTCAATGTTTCCCATGCATCGATCCACCCCTCAAGTGTCCTTAAGATGTCAAGCTATCGGTACTTGMATGCTAGAAATTTTGCAAGAATTAATTATAATTAATACCAATCAATGCTCGCGCAAACCATAGCTACATAGATGCAAACCTTGTCTGGACATCATCCGCTTTATTTCAAAGGAAGTCATTCTCTTAAGTCCTCAGTGTTTGCAGCTAGTTTCTTTGAGAAAAATCTTAATTTACTATTTTAACAGCGTRTTATCGATTCCTCTGAATCTGCGCGCCAAATTTTTGCAACGCGTGACTAAATGATACGGTCTCAGAAACAGAGACGAAAATACTTCTCAACTGGTAGTCCTCTTGACGCCACGATCTAATTGTTATTTATAAATGGCCTTGACATATCTCAATGAATTGGCGCACTAGTTAATGCCCCAGTGATYGATAAGCTCCATATATACATTCATTAATTACAGGCATACACTTTATGATCATTGATTAAGACAATGTGATGGAGCACTGTTTGTATCTAATGAAAAAACAATTAAAAATTGATAAAAAATAAACTTCAAACAGTGCTATAGATTACGTAGCGGTTTTCCGTCAACCATGAAAGCACAATAAGTCTTATAGTTAGTAGTAGTTTGTAATAGACCAATACTAATAGTCTAGCTTGTATCCGATTGATAGGATAARCATATTCATCACAAAAAGTTTTTTATGTTAATTTTAATGGTTAGCTATTTGTCTATAGTTTACATATGTCTATAGTTTATGTATCTAAAAGTTATATCGACTTTTACTAATTGCTACTAACTAGTTGGTCTATTTCTTTTCATGGTTGACGGAAAACCACTCTAATAATATACTACTGCATTTTATAATTACGTAACATGTACATGAAATAAAGTGATAATATATAAAAACACGAAAAAGTACCAACCGAATATTGCTAGATAAATCCATACAGTTGACGAAGTCATAAGCCAAAATAATGACTCGCATAAGGGAAGGTACGTTTATTATTGAGGGGGGAGGGCTGGTGTGGGAGAGGGGTTGTACTGAATTATTATACGAATTCATTTGTTTTCTATGGTCTAACTATCTAMATTAGAGTGATCGCACTTAAACCGTGTAACTGTAGAAACTAAATAGTGCAATCTAACTCATGTATTTAGTAAATCGTGCATGTGGTAAGTTATAACCACCCCAAATGAAGTCTTCAATACACCGTCTTCCTTCAGGTCCACAATCAAATAAAATATTGGTATGATTGTCTGAATAACCGATGGTGATACATGTRCAGAACTCCAAAGTACCAACAATTACAAAACTGATATTTATTTTTGCGTYGCGAGGTGTAGGCTCAGTCTCCAGCCGTCGGGATTTCGTGCGCCCGCGATACTCTCTCCCCTGACGGCTGGGCGCATGGGGTTCGCTATTGTCAGTCTTGACCAATCAGCGAGTGGCCCCCGATATTTTCAGGGGCATATCATTAATAAATTAGCAGGCAGCAGTGTAACAAAATGGCGTACAATTCGTCGTTTGAGATTCTCTTTGAAAGTGCTTGTTTGAAGGCTCTGAAGTCGTTTAGCTTGGACGATTTTAGAGAAATACAGCAAAAGGCTCTTAAAGAGATTGTTCTTGGAAAAGATGTCCTTGTTATTCTTCCTATATTGGCTCGGGCAAATCTCTTATTTTTCAAACAGCGCCACTAGTGTATTTTGCTCGTTTTTCTGTCAGATAATACATCCATTTGGATTATTAAACCCTACACATGTTTTACTTGGGGTAATTTCCATTCCTTTCTCTTTTTTAAAGCGCTAACTATTACATTATATCGCTACTTCGCGAAGTTTTCATTTCACATAATTTCCCAACTTGTAGCAAAACCTTTACGGCTGTTGTCAGATATTTCGCTTCCGTTCACTGAAAAATTCACTTCCGTTACGTCATAATATGCTAATCACACAAAAACGTCACGGACATGCGCGACACGTTTCTAGCCCCATGCGCCCAGCCGTCAGGGGAGAGAGTATCGCGGGCGCACGAAWTCCCGACGGCTGGAGACTGAGCCTACGCGAGGTGCTGACACGAACTAAAGATTAATATAAGCATTAGCATATTATAACCCATCCAAGCGTGATCGTCAGCTAAGCATTCATCGATCCATACTCCAAATGGCGTGATCTGGCCGAGAAATAAAAACAAATATTTGCCTTTCGTCTGCTTACTTTTGCACGGAATGGAGGCGCTTCGTCACTGTGTCACTGATTAAAACAGACGAGTTACGTACATTAGAATGAATCAGTCTCGAAACCGCGGCTCCCCAACCCCTGGGAATACCCGGGGAATTAACATTTCTGCAATGTTAATTCAAGTCCATGCATTTCCCGGACCTTGGAGGAAAAAAAAGAGTCGGAGTCAGCTAAGTGATCGTTTCCTTTGATAGATATTAATTTCTCTGCTATTGAAACAGTGTTAAATCCCCGGCTATAATGGGTTAATTCCCCGGCCCTCCACGGGGTTTGTGGATCCCAGGTTAATAAGATTACATAAACAACAAAGATCCCAAAGTCAATATCAAGCTGAAAAATTTAATATGGATATCAAACTCAATAAGCTGCTTACGTGTAACGTAGTTTGAAATACTTTCTCATATATTTTCAAAAACATTAACTTAACTTGTTTAAATGTGTTTTGAGCTGTACAACGTTAACATGGTTTAAATGTGTGCATTATTTAATTTGAATAGTAAAATCATTTAACGTTACTTGAATATGCTGTAAATATACAATATATGTCTTAAGAACTGCAAGACCATCTCAAAAATCAATGAATATATACAAAAATATGAATAAGAATCATTTTCCAAGGATTATGTATGGTAATTATAGACCCCTTGGAACATGTGACGTCAAAGCAGCTTGGACAAAACAAAAGAGATTTCCTTTGGGAATTCTTGGAATCCATTGTTTTGTCCTTCAGCCGTAGTTGCATTCCCACGAACTGCAAGAGATCGACTATAACAATAATTGTATAAGGTCCAGTATAATATGAAGAAATATTGATTGATGCCTATTACAACAGCCTTGAAAATTGGACTTTCTCCGAGTTGAGACTAACTATTCCTATACAMCCTTTTTTTTCGCTTTGAATTCTAAAATGGTTTTCACGTTACGTCACAACATCCATCTTGGAGGAACGTCGACAAAGGATTTCTCATTAGTATCTATTTCATTCATCCAACATGGCCGCCGGTCTTTTATCTCATGGGAATGGTTGAAAACCAGCAATATTCCAATGTTAGTCAAGGAAAAATTGACGAGCAGTTCTTAGACAAATAAATATGTCTATGTACTTTGAAGAAATAATAATGCTGCATGATAATTGCTAATGTACATTCTAAGAAAGAACAAATTAATTAAAAATAAGACTAATTCATCACAAATGAACATAACTAGTACTATTATAAATTATAAAAGATTTAATTTTGAAGTGTACTGTCATTTGTTGCTACCATTACACTTGCAACATCATCAGTCTAGCACAAGTCTACCGTACACTTCAATACCACAAAGACGTAACGCATGTCTTCCGTTAGAATTCAACCCAGTCTGCCTCACGCGTATAAAACGGAAACTTTTCTCGTCTTCGTTGTTAATTTTCCAGTACCCAAAGCCATAAGCTGTATTAATAGTTTCGTCATTAGAGTGCTGACGTAATACACTCCATTTTCTACCGTCCAGAGATCCTTCTAACACCCAGTTACGTAAAGCGCCTGCGTTTCCACTCCATCCGTGACGTAGACTGTACGCATTCGGAATGACAACGCGTTTTTCACCGAAGTCAATCTTCCACCATTGGTTCGGTTTATTGCTCGTGCTGCACCACGAGGGACGACGATTGGCAACGTCGGTTGCTCGGCCATGCCCGTAAGATGATCGGCTTATTAGGATAAGGCCGCTTTCTCCAGGATTCTTCCAGTCAGTTAGCCCTCCGTTAGTTCCAAGCCAGTAGAGCACACCACGCTTGTCTTCGAGCTCTAAAAAAGACATCGCTCAGGTGACCAAAATTATACATGTAGATAAAAAATGTCAATACATGTTTTGCGTCTAGATAGTGGGGATCAACTCCGAGTCTCCCTATAGCCAGTGGCTAATTGTTATTTATCAGACTCCCTCGCACTCAAGAAAACTACATTGAATATTTTATCACATAACACTGCTTACAGCTAGTTTTTGACTGAGGAAGGAAAACCAGCGGACCTCGACCTCGGAGCAAAGAAGAGAACCAACTTACAAACTCAAATCACATATAGTCCCAGACCAATAATCGAACTGGAAACACAGCGGTGATAGACCAGCTTTTTTACCAACTGGACATCCTAGCTCCTTATAATAAACAGTGAATCCCATAAAGTACAGTACTACACTTAAATTCCTACCTTCCTTGGAGTCTTGCTCGACCATCATTGGAATATCTTCACCAGACAATTGTCTCGCTAGCTCTATAGACCGTCGTCTCTCATCTTCAAACATCTTCCTTTGGTCTACTTGCTGCCGCTGCAGCTCTTCCACTGCTTCTTCCAGGATTTTGTTCTTTTCTCTTTCGAGTTCGAGTTTTTCGAGAAGACTGTTCGGAGCTATGTCACTGACGGCAATTTTTTGACGGAGATCCTACGAGAGAAATCAATGAGGTATCTTAATTATGCTGTAAAGTGACTGGCTAGTATCATTTTACAATATAGATCGATCGAAGCAAGACACTGTGCAAGATATGTTTCCTAACAGCAATGGATTGTTGGTGTTTCTATCGACGTTCATAAGAAGTTTTCATGGTTTCAGAGTGACTATTCCAGCTCTGTAACATCAAAAGCTTCAAWRGATAGAAATTTAGTTTAGAATTGTCATTTTGTAACGCACCCAACAGAGAGTTTTATAGTAACAGTGCATTGTATGTGAAAGCACTATGAAGCATTCAGTATTCAATGCTTAGGAATGGCTGGATACTTATAATAATATTATTACCTGTAGCTCGTCCATCAAGTCTTGATATTTCAACGCCTTCTTAGTATTAGCTATATCATCCAAAATTGTTTGGATTCTTTCTATCTCCTCTTGTTGCTCCTCACTTTGCTCCTTGATTTGCATCATGCAGTCAGAGTCAGTGGTTCTAGCGTCTTCAATCTGTCTTCTTAAAACCATATTTTGTTCACGAAGCTTATGAAGAGCTTCGATGATAATGATGTTGTTCCTCTGTGTTGYAAGTCTTTCCTCTTCAAGCTCGTGATGTGTTGTTGATAACTGTCGTCGAACGCTGTCAGGATCGTCTTCCTTGCTAGACAACTGCTCACGTAGAGTTTGATTTGTATGTCTTTCATCACGGAATTTCTCTTTAAGGTCATGAAGYTCTATTTCCTTAAGCTCACGTGAACTTCGTTCTTCGATAAGCTGAGCGTTAAGGTCTTGCTTTGTTCCCTGTTCGGCTTCGAGGTCTTYCAAGAGTTCTTCTATGCGATCTCTAAGAAACGCTTCCTCCTCCTTCGCATCAGTTATTTCTTTCCTTTTGATCTGTTCCATTTCAAGTTTCCGCTTAATATTTGTAAGCTCATTTGTTAACTTGCGCTTGGCTTCTTCTACCTCAGCAAGTGTTTTTCTCAGTTGGACATTTGCTCTTTGTTCCTCCTCTAGAAAGATTTTCATCTCGTCTAGTTCATAATTCATTAGACGTTCTTCTTCGGTTTCYAGTAAAGAAGCCCTTTTTTTAAGCCTTTCGGCCTCCGCCAGTTCTTCGAAACCTTCATCGCTGGCTCCCTTGGCATCCTTTAAAAGCCTTTCTGCGTGACGACTGTAGCTTCGTTCGACCTCCAGCAACTTCTTCAAAGTTTGGATCTCCTGCGTTTGGACATCGATAAGCTCTGTTCGCTCATGGATTTGACTCCAGAGATCTTCCACTACATCATTCCATGATGTCATTCCATTGCTCACGGACCGYTTATGGAGCACATACGTTATCAAACGTAATAGCACAAGGATTCCAAAATACATTGCAGTATCGTAAGAAARCGAAGTTACGTTATAAAACAGAAATATTAGTCCTGCCATGAAGATGACATCAAGTCCACACTGCTTAAAAACAGAGAAGGAAAGCTGCAGAGAAGGTTTCTTGACTGTCTCTGACATCTTCCTTTTCGTAAGAGTATTTGATGACTGCCGATGGAGTCGGGCGCGTTTTAACAATTGAAAAACTCCAAGAACAACAGCTATTGATATAGATATTCCAACAGCCAACTTTTTCTGTGTTAGCAAAGCAGTAGCCGAGGAGGCCAAAGCAAACAGCAGTATTTCCCATTTAGAAATTTTCTTGAGGAACGAGGTTTTAGATTTTTCAAGCCTTGATTTATTTTGTGACTTGATGTGCAAGATTTGCTTTTCAGCTGCTTCTACGATCACATTAGTGGCATGCTTAAGATCCCCAATCGTCTTGCGCTGCTCCTCTGTATGTGAGCTATGTTCTTCAAGTTGTTTTTGCATGCTTTTGAAAACAGAGAATTTATCACGTGCGTGGTCTTCCGCTAGTTTTTGGAGCTCAAAATCTTTTGCAAAGGAAAACTCTTTGAAACTTTGCGATATGCTTCGCATTTCTTCGCTTTCCTGGAATACCCATGTCAGTTTTGCAATTGTTAATTGGTGGTCCTTGTTTTTCTTATATTCGTCATTCAGTCTTTGCTCTAGTGCCTCAATGGCCTGTTTTTGTTTGGTCACAACATCGTGTTCCCTGTCCATTAGTAGAGAAAGTTCATCAATTTCCGCTTTCTGTGATTCTACAACGCTCTGCTCCAGATGAAGCTGGTTCTTAAAGTACTCGATTTTTCTCCAGGAATTTACCCCGTAAACAAGTGAGCACGATGCCAGGGCAACGATACCAGCGACAGTTAGGGAAGGAGAAAGGTTTGCWGAGAATGAGAGCATTAGAACACCTGAGAGAATTATCACTGTGACGAATGTTTCGATTTTGAAACTATTTTCTTTACTAACAGCTTCCTCAACTGCACCAGCTACTTTCTTCTTAATAATTTCTTCGTCGGTGCATTCACGTCTATTCTTCTCTATCTCTCGCTCGTGTTTTAGTCGATTGATCGCCATCTTTAATTCCTCATAACCCCAGAACTGCCCAAGCCTGGATTTAATTTCTTTTTCTTGTAAAATGATCTCTAATTTATCGATCAGTGCTTGCTGACGCTGTAGCCTTCGTCTGTCGCCTTCTTGCTTCTGTTTTATCTTCGATAGTTCCTCCTTTTGTTTTTCGTGTTCCTCCTTTGCCTGTTTTTCAAGTTCTTCGATCAGCAGTTTCCTCTCATGGGCAAATTGCTCGTGTAATCTTACACCACCTCTGGTATTGTATTGACCCATTTGGTAATGATAATCTCTCTTTTTCATATCTTCTATAGTGTGACGGAGGTTATTATTGTCAGCGCATTCWGCAGCAAGTCGCACACTCAATCCATTTACTGCATCGTTGAGGAGTTTCTCTTGATCAAATCCGTTTTTCCAAGGTCTGTGGTAAATAATAAATGCCAAAGGCATTAGGACAGCGGCAAGACTCAGTGAAATTTCACTGGAAAAGAAATAAGCAAGCGGACTCAAAAGCAGCACTATTACAAACTTTTGGATGATTGTTTTAATGSCTTCTTTCTTAGACACTTTTGGGTGGRTTTTCAGACTTTTTTCGTAAAGAAGGTCTAATCGTTTTTCATCTGACTGGTCTGCAAGTGGTAATATTTGATCCAAATTAAAATCTGCTTCAATCTTCTGTTTTAGTGCTTGAATTGCTTTGTCCTGGGAAGCCAAAAGTCCACTTCCATCCACTTCACTTGTGTCTTTTTGTAGTGCGTTCTGGAATGTTTGAGCACTTTCTTCCATTATATTCTCTTCCATCCATTCCCGTTCTTTCTCCCATCCTTTTTTCAAGTCAAAATTCTCTTTTTTCAAACTGGAAATCAGTTCATCTTTCTCGGTACAAAGAATCTGGAATTCAAGTTTTTCATTTTCGCGAAACCTTTGGGCTTCACGGAGCCGCTGTTCCGCTTCATGAAGCTGGTCCTTTTTGGTTGATATCTCTTGCTTGAGTTCTTCGATCTTCTCTTGGCGATCAAGAATAAGATTACTTTTGGTCTCGAGATGAACTTGGCTCCTGCTCCTGCCTTTAAACTCGTCGATTTTCTTGTATTGATGTCGTTCAGATTCTCTCAATTGCGATTCGAGCTCTGTTACTCTATCTTGAGTTTTGAGCCTCTCCTGCTTTTCTTTGGAGTAGAGTTCTTGAAGCTCTTCAATGTGTTCCAGAAAACTCTCCCGCTCATTCTGCATTTTCCTTTCTTTTTGCTCCACTTCTTTACTCAACATTCTCGTCCTTTCCTTTTCGTTTTCCACGTTGTGTTCCAATACCCTTACGTCCTCTTTAAGGTCTTCTATGATCGTTTGTTTTGTTTGTTTCTCGCGCTTAAGCTCTTTTGTCATCTGAAACATGACTTCCTTCTTCTCCTCTTCTATTCGAGAGGCTTCTTCGCTACCATGCTTTTGTAGCTTTTGTTGAAGCTGTTCATTTAGGTTTCTTTCTTCTGAAATAACTTTGTTGAGTGCATCAATTTCGTTCAAGTAAACTTGGATGATTTCTGATTCTTCAAGCTCTCTTTTCAGTTCTTCCATGACTCGGTCTTTTTCTCCAAGAGCTAGTTTGAGCTCACTAATCTCTTTCTCGTATGTTTTGAACTTCTCTTCGTATTCAATGAGGGTTCGATCTTCACTCTCAAACTTCACTTCCACGTCTTTCAAGAGTTGATTCTGCAGGTGAACTCGTTTCTGTTCTTCGTCCAACTCGTTCAAAAGTTCATTTATACGTTGATCTTTTGTGTTTCTTTCCGCAGTAACCTCTTCAAGCTTTTTAGTCAAATTATTTTTCTCTTCCGTGAAGTGATCTTCTTTTTGGCTGAGCTCATTCTTCACGGTTTTCGTCTCTTCTTCCATTACTTTAATTTTCTCACTGGTGGCTGATATGTCTTGTTCCTTGCTTGCCAGTTGCTGTACGTATGCCTCAATTCTTTTCTCTTTTTCTGATCCTTCAAATTCCGTCTTTTCAAGTTCATCTTTTACTTTTTCCAAAACGCTCTCAAGATCTTTTGAATTTTTTTCCATCTCTTGAATCCTTTGTTCCAATTCACAGACGATCGCCTCCTTTTCTTTAGTCTCTTTGCGTCTTTCTTCAATTTCGTTTTCTTTTTCTGCGATAACCTGCTTCATTTTTTCTTCATTTTCGACTTTTGCTTTAACATCCTCATCTAATGCTTGGATTTGATTCTGGAGATCTTGCACAAGGGTAATTCTGTCTATAAGATCCCTCTCTTTGTTTATCGCTTCTTGACTTCGCTTGTCGGCTTTTTCGTTGGCCTCTTTCACTGTTGCCTGAAACATAACATAAAAATTTARATAATACGATAARCACTGTCTGTATTGAATGATCTCGGTATCCCTAGCCTCTCTGCAACTTTAATTTACGAGAAATGGCAATAATAGTACATGCTTACACAAATATTATTATAGCGGAATTCGTATGATCCGTACGGATCATGCCACAGACACCATACGGATCCTTACTTGGCAGTGACCCAAATGAAAATACTAAGTCAAGAACACATCACCATCTCGGCACGTACGGTTACTGTACGGAATTGAAGTCCCGTGTTTTTTGCACAATTATGCAAAATTCGATATAAAGCAACAAACAACCCCTTGGGGCCTTGAAAATGGCATCTGTCTGAGGCCGACAATAAGCAAAGTGTAATCGTTATTAAACAAGTGGATGCTTTCCAAGCTTTGGATTTGTTAGTTTAGAATTATTGCGCGACGGCTTACAAAACTTTTGAGAAAAGGTATGCATTTAGATTACGAGAGTGTTAGTTCTATGCATCAAATAAATGTTCAATGGCAACTACCTTAGCTTCTACAATGGCAACATCTTTTTCTTCCAGCAAGCTCTCTAGGTCTTTCAGCTTTTCCTCTGTCTGTAAAAGGGTTTTGTGTTTCTCRATCARYTCCTTCTGACTAAACTCACTTCTTTTCTTYAARTCTTTGTTWGAGGACGTCAACTCTGCTGYGGTTTTTTTAGCATTYTGGAATTGACTTGAGAGGATACGGTTTTCGACTTTCTTATCTTCTAAAAGCTTTAAGTTTTCATCGTGCTTTTCTTTAAGATCGTCGTAAGTTTGTTTCAAGGACAATGAACGTACTTTAAGCTTATCTACCTCATCCTTTTGCCTTGAAATTGTTCTCTTGTCTCTGTCCGTCACTAACTTCATCTCCAACATTTCTCGCTTTTGGTCGTCTGCATGTTTACAAACGCCGTCGTACATGAGYCGAAGCTCTTGATATTGAGCTTTCATGTCAGTCTGAATCTTCCTCCARCTATCTATGTCCCTCTTTAGCCGTTGAATGTCCATTCGTAGTTTCTCGTTCCTTTGGTACTCACGACTATTTTGGGTGTTCAGCTCTTCGATCAACTTCTTGTCCTTCTCCATCTCCTCTTGAAGTGACTTTACCAGTTTATCTGCATCGTTGGAGTCTTTCTTAAGATGCTGGAGCTGTTGGTGAAGCTCGATATTCCTTTCACTTTGGATATCAATRCTTGCCTTTAGTCCTGTTATGATATTTTGGTAYTTTGACTCGTCGCCGTCGTCGTCGCTGACGTTCTGCAGKAGTGGATTTGCATCGCGGAAACTCCTCAATAACTCCTCACTTTGGGAGAGTTTGAATCTGACTTGTTCGTGTTCACATTTTTCCTTTTCAATTTCATCTCTTTTGGCTGCTAATGTGGACTCRAGATCTTCACATCGTGATTTCCATAAGCTCATTTCACTTTGAACATTTTTGATGAGAYTTTCCCCAGSYTCGATTCTAGCTTTCAGCTCGTTTAAGTTTTCATTGGAACGACTTTCTTCTGCATCTGAATTTTTTGAACTTCCAAGTCTTTCCCTCAAATCTCGGATCAATTCGTCGCTTTCTTCGAGCTTTTTCGTCAAGTTCTCAATAAGTTGTTTTCCATCCTTGTTCTTTTGCTCTTCCAGTTTCAAAAGCTCGGAAAGTTTCTCGGTTTTTTCCGCCTCATGGTCGAATCTTCCTTCGAGTTCTTGGATCTGAGTATCGCGTTTATAAATGCCCTCTTTTAGCGCTTCCAGTTGAAAGGACAGGGCTTGGAGATTATTGTTACTATCTTCCTCTATAATTGGTTCCATGACAACGAGAGCGGGTTGATATCAACAGCTATTCACCTCGCTAGAAGAGATAAAGGTTGCTTTTAAGAATAATTATATGTAATTGTATAATTAACAACTTATCAGGAAGCGAGCCATATATAGGAAGAAACTCAATGAGCCCCAAAGAAATATTCAACAATATGAAAATTAAATTATAGCTGCACAACTGCGCATTGCTAGGGTTTTTAAAATACTTCGGTGCTCACAACCATTTCTATTCAGTGAGTTATATTTCTTATTGATTATTATTTCTATTTGACTTCATTTCATAAATCCAGCTTCAATGTATAATTAAAATTTGAATGATTTCATATTAATTGAACTRGGCTTCAATTTTGCAAAATTAGCCAACAAAGGATTTGAATGTGGCAATCAGCACAGGTCATTCGTAAGATATATTAAACGGCCCGATKCTGTACGTATAATTACAAGAACTTTGTTATATAGAAGCGAACGTTTTTTACAATGCAAATAAAAATTAAAAGTCGAGCTTTTATTAGTGATCTCCTTCGTCGGTTCTTCAAATGTGCGCTTCCTCACACACACTCTSTCACGCAAAATGATGAATAAAAAATACCAATTTGAGCTAAAGTAAAACTTGAGGTTTGCAGATCAAAAAGTATAATTTTAAGTAGGATATCTTAATTTTTGAGAATCATGTTTGGAACTTTGCGGGTTGTTTTTGCTTTCAGCGGCCGTCGCTTACTTCGTGTAGCGTTTGCAAATTCATTGAACTATTCGATCGCGGAAAGACACTTTTGCTTACAGTTGCAGCAGATATCATTCAAAATTCGCATCTGCAAAATCAAAAGATTCKCTATCTAACAGCGTATATCATGAACAACACAAAAAGGTACTAAATTATTACTTATCATGATTGTTTATATAAATCATTCTATAGTGAGATTTTAAATGATAACGTAAAAGCTACAACAAACTTAAAATAGTTATGATAAGACAGTCAATTCCCCAAATCCGTCAGGGTTAATCAAACAGTTCAACATATACATTAACGTTCTATATTGAAGAATGCTTTTTCTAGTGGCATTTTTATAGGAGGTTTTTCTCATTATTCTTACCTTGACGTCGTCCATTGCTAGCTGCTTACGATACACAAYATATCGGCTATCTAGGCATTTACCGGTGGTTCGATTGAGCCTCAGAGCGTCGGTCACGTGRTACTCGCCATATTTAATTTAAAAGACCTGTTCGAAGGGATAAACATTGAATGAAATTGGAATGACCTCGATAAATTCATTAGCCCCTATTTTAATCCGTATTGAAATTAAAATATTTTAATCYAAGAGTCGACTAAGGCTGCGTTTACTAAGATCCAATTAATTTTAAAAATGGCGTACTTTTTCTTGCGTTTTGAGGCCTGTCGCGCTTACACAAAAACCATCAAAAACATTGTTGGATATTTGAGATGAGAAAACGATACGAACAAATCATATTAAACAGTTTCAAAAACACCTGGATCAACCAGTTTATGAGTCGCCAAATATTTCTTTAAAGCTGTTAGTTTCTTAAAATATTCAATGTGAAAGCGACCAAAATGTTTGTTCTGTCAGAACGTCTTCGTTAGGATAGTTTCCGACTGAAAATAAGCGTACTCTGCCAACTATCACCTTGCAGACACCCCGATATTGATTAAATAATAAAAGTTTACTTAAAAAAATCGCTTTTTTACAGCTTTCCCTGTTTTACAGTCCCAAAAGTCGACTGTATTAGGTTTCGAGTGTGTGTTGGTCGTAATATATATCGAATCATAGACAGCACAAGTAGTTTACCTACAGCCATCACATGCAGCCTTCCTAAGTCTTCTTTACAACAAGACTGCAACCGTTGTAGAGATTGAAATAATTTTTTAATACCGAGCCGCTACGAGCTACGACAGCCATTTTGCAGGGATGACTTATACGAGCATGCTGCATGGGATGGGTGTACGCAAAATTTCTACCCGTGTAATTTATTCGGCCCATAGTGTCTAAGTGTGGAGATAAACTATCAAATACCCCTTGAGAAAAGCAGTGTCATGAGGGCCTTTAACTATAATCACTTGGGACACAATTAATGCAATTAAAAGTCAATAATWTTTTAACAGAAGCGAAATATCAATAACCTACTTACAAATGTACACAAACTTGTGATTAAAAGGTTTCATTTATATTCGTACTAAATTGGCCATATATACAAGTCTGCCGACGTATTCAATTTCAACTTTTCCGTGCGCTTGATTTTTTATTTTTAGAATTTTCTTAAATATTTTCGAATTTTTTGTAACTAACTGTAGCGTATACCTCAATTTAAGTTTCCATTCAATTTCTATCCCAGTTTTAAATATCCTATCTATTGTTTTCCGAGAGCCATTGCGATCATTTATTTCGTAATTAAAAATTATCTATTGTTAAAAGTTGCTTTCTGATTGGTCAAAAATCAAGTGTTTTTTAGGAGCTCACAAACTTCMAATATTCATCTAAACAAGCTATTCAAATTAGGGGGCCAGTTACAGGGACCGCGGAGCATGAATTTGTTTGGGGGGGGGCTAGCGGCGATGAGGTACTAGGGGGATTCGGAAATTTTTTGAAATGTAACTCTCGGGATTGTCATTTCCATCGTTTTGAGGCGTTATCAAAGACATTAGTTTACCGCACACACGGTCAGCGATATTATGATAAATCTTCGCAAAAAAGCTTCAATTTTAATTGTTCACGCTCAGTTTTTATACAATTTTTATAGAATATATATGGTGAAATTTGATAAGGAGGCTCTTCGCTTCTTCATTTAAGAAAATTCAAAATGTCGGAAAAATTATTGGGCGGGCTGTAGCCCCCCAGCCCCCCCTGCTCCGCGGTCCATGAGTTATGGAAACTGGAAAACTTTGTTCAGAAAGAAATAGAAAATTTGGGATTGCAACAACAAGTCGAATTTCCAGGAAATATAGTTTTCTCAAACTCATTAATCATTCAAGATATAATTTGCCAACACGTGATCTCTTACGACGTGCAGAACCGCGAAGTCCCTGAGAAAGTCCACTACATAGTAATTTTTCCAAGACTTTCATAGCATTCCCCACTCAGTCCCTCATCTTTCAATCACTGGGGCTCCTGAATTCTAACTCAGACAAAGCACACACAAAACCAGCCGTTATTACATGTGGGACAGAGGTTGTTTTCTTAGGCCGTTAACACATGCGCACGTTTGTGATTCCTCCCGAAGTTGTTCAAAGGCTGCAAATTCAGACTTGACCGTTTGAAGTCCAAAGACCTTGAAGATGGGCTTCCTTGAGCCAACATTGAAATGCGAAAAACGGAAAAATCGAAAATAAAAATCGCGCACTTTAAAAGTGGTAATTTTGATGTAAATCTTATGTAAATTTGATGWAACTGATGTACATCAAATTCACATCATTTTGGACACTTACATCATATAGTCAACTCTCGCCTTACGGACAACCCGCTACAACGGACACCTCGATATAGCGGACAGTAAAATACTGAATCCCCGGCGAAAAATACAAAAAAATGACTGAAAGTAACTCTCGTTACTACGGACTTTCGCTACTGCGAACACTAAATTACGGTCCCTAGGGTGTCCGTAATAGCAAGAGATGACTGCATTTATATCAAATTTACAACTTTATTAAAGTGCGCGATTTTTTCCAGCGCATTGTTGGCCTTCAGACAACAATGAAGTAGCAAAAKGCAATTATTAATGATCCGTGAAGACATTGATATTATTTACCAGCTTTTATTCCAACAATTTATTACCATCTTTTATAGAACTGATTGACATCAAGCTTATTGAATTCAAGCGAGCCGCCCGGTCACCTTTCGCTTATTAGACTCTGGTTGTTTGAGATTCTCCCTCGCTTTCAATACATGTTTATCTTTGGTTAAAATCTTTCCGTTTTCTTTTGATTGGAAATGTGACGCAGTTCTGCGATCGGAAAGGTTTTGCTTTTTGTTAAACGCTTGAGAATTCCATTGAGATTGTATCGATTGTGGCTTTCTCTGTGAGTTGTCAGGGTTGCTGTTGTCGCTGTTGTCGCTGTTAACTTTGTTGTCGTTGCTTGTATCGAATAGCGCCAGGAACTGTTTTACTGATGGATTCATATTATCATTTAGCATCCCCGAGGACTGGACTACCTAGACCAAACAACACTTGATCAATGTATTGCTTGTTCACAGGGGTTGACGAAAGTATAATAGAGAAAATGACGATGAAATAATAGAGAAAATGACGATGAAATATAGGAGAAATACGGAGAAAAGAGCAAGAATGATAAAATGAAAAGGAGAGCACTGAGGAGTTGAAGAACTAAGAGAAATTAGTAGTAGTATATGAAAACATGGGGGGAACTCGCATTTCTTTGGTTTTACGACAATCATTATTGCCGCTAATCACAAAGTCAAACCAAAATACAATAAAGTTAGAAATTGTTAGGTAAATTAAAGTGGCGGGAACAGGTTTATAAAGAATATTGTAAAGATGTTCACGGATACGATCGCCAAGACGACGGCCAGTCTCGCCGACATACAATAMATTACAAAGCGAASATTTAMTACAATAGACAACTTTAGAGGTGGTACATTCAAAATTCTCAGTGATTCTGAGTAGATGAAAAGATGAAGACGAAGAAAGCGAAGAAGATGATGGTGATAGTGTTGATGATGATGGTGTTGTTGTTGATGTTGTTATTATTGTTGTTGTTGATGATGATGATGATGGTGATGATGTCATAAACATAACAATAGAGCCTTTATATATAATTAGTTTGACAAACAATTGYTTGATAAAGGGCTACGTACCACTGCACCAGGCAGGTCTGTTGTATTGGACGAGAGGTTAGAAAAACCATTAGGAATAATACCAGGAATAATTGGCATCGAGTCTTTGGAGCCTTGAATTGAGACAAAATCTCATAATGAGACTACAATCGAACCTCTATTAAACGGCCCTCTTTTTAGCGGTCTCCCCCCACAAAGCGGTCAATCTTTAATTCCCAAAAGTCCATTCTCATATATATTTTCTGTAAACGTGACCTCTGTTAAACGGCCCTCTATTTACCGGTCAACCTCCATAAAGCGGTCACTCATGAATTCCCCAAAAGACTCATATATATTAACTGTAAGCGTGATCTCTACTAACGGTCACTGCTTTTACCCTAAGGTGGGCGCTTAATAGAGGTTCGACTGTATACAAAACATGGTCCGAAGGGTTTAGATCTGTCGATGTTTACAACCATGGTTGGTGRRTRTTGCAGGGAYACACATAAACTTAAGGTAACCTCACCTATAGCTTTTGACCACACGATACTAGGATCATCAATGGGCGGTAGCTGTGGTTCTGGTTTTCTTGCCTCAAACCCAGGTGGAGGTCGAACTGCTGAAATTGTGAA